TCGTTAAATCGGGATCCAACTGTTTTATTTAAATATAAATTTCGAATCAAATGAACCTGAAATAATTACACTAAAAAGAAAAAAAGTCAAATAATGAAAAAATATAATAAATGAATTAAATAATTAGTCTTTATATATCTTTATAAAAATCAGAAGATTATAATTTCTATTTCAACATTGTTTACAAGGGGAAAAAGTGTATATATACCTTTTATATATTTTAAATATATATTTTTCTAAACTTATGTCGGAACGCGTATTTAATCATTCAACTTTTTTTGTCCCTTACCTTTCGTAATTTGGATTCGTCGGTTGCTAATAGCAACGGAATCCGCCGATTGCATATATTTCAGCATAGTTCAGACGATATAATCCAAAGAAATGTGAATAATTCTTTGGAAAGTTTTATTTTAAAGTTTAAATTTGCTTTTTACTAAATACTGATTTCCCTCTGTTTAAAGTTGAAATTTAAAACGCAAAAGCTATTCATTTGGATCGGATCAACATAAAGGTATGATTATTTCATTGTCGCTAATTTAGTAAAAAAATATATAATTTAAATTGAAATAACTCAAAAGCAAAAATTCGATTTGAACAAAAAAAATCAAATATGGAGGAAAATAATTTTACTGTTAAATTTGATTTAATAAAAATTGATCGCTAATCTTTTTAAGCAAAAATCACGAATTTCGGGCATGAAACATAATTTTTAGAATTTATACATCTTAAGTTTTTGATAATGTTTTAAATTACTTAAATTTCCGCTTTGGAATGTATATTTTTAAGAGAATTTTCTCAGTGGTACAGAAATATTGATCAATGAGAATAAATATTTTATGAAATATTTTGCAAATTTTCACTTAAAATATTCGTTCGAACCATCCAAATTTAGTTCACTCGCATCTATTTGTAAATGGCAAAATCATATTTATTGTGGCAAAAAAAGCAATCAATGAGGTAGAAATTCAAAATTTAATAGATGAACTTCAAAAATAATAGAGTAAATATATTTTCTGGTAAATAGCAAGAACTGCGGGAAAAAATCACAGAGTGTAACATAAAAATTGTAGTTTAGCATTTCAAAACTTCAGTAATGTGAATCTGTTCAATTTTTTAGGTTCGTTTCTCAATTATATTTCGCACGTCTATATTATTATGTATAATTGTTTTTCCATACTTAAAAGCGACGCGAATGTGTATATTACTGATAAACTTATTGATATTATCTTCTATATGCTGCCCTTTTATAACTCATTGATTTGCAAATCTTTCCGGTTTTAACTCTTTCATGCTTTGAATTTTTGACAAAAATAATGCATTCGAGGGAAATAATTACGAATATTTTAGATAAACCTCATAAAGCTATAATTATTGAGCAAAAAATCTGATACATATTAATAATATTAAACACTTTTTCAAATAAAGGGTGTCCAAAGTTTTAAAAAACAGGTGGTACATATTTTGTACCACCAACACGCTTCAAATAGCATGATAGTTCTGGAAGCATGATTTTTTTCCCTAGGCACTATGGAACTTTGCAGACACAACACATCCATTCTTTTTTTATTAGAAAATAAATAAATTCATTTCTTCATTTTATACTGTTATACGTCATACATATTACAACATTTTCAGTTTTTCCTAATATGATGTTGTAAGCTTAATTTACCTAATGTTAGTTTCAATTTTAAATATTCTATTCTATACATTATTTTATTTTACCTAGTTTTCATATAGTCAATATACATTAAGAAGTGTATTAGTTGCATTTTTCCCCCTGAACACGAGCTATAGCTCATTCAGGACATTTGTATAATTATATATGTACTATTATTTAATAATAATATTATTTTTTACAAAAAATATAACTACAAATCTACCTGGCACAATAAACAGGTCCATTATAGCGAAAAAATAAGCGTAATGCGTTTTGTATTTGTAAAGAAGATGGCCTTCAATAGCGTGGTTTTGATAGGTACGAGGCTGATCAGGCCTCTCCCAGTCATATTCTGAATTGTTTGAGTTTTTCATATGACGAGGTTTTAGGAAATCCTATCTTATTTCTGGATTTTTTGGAGATTTTTGGTTTTATGGAGATGGTGTAGCTGAGCTACACCATCTGGGATAAGAAACAACAACAACAGACCTGATTTGTATCAAATATCACAAGAATCACACACATACACACTTTTATTTACACTTAAAAGTACACAACACAGTCACTTTAAAAAAATACCACTCAATAGACTCACAACTGATCAAAGAATGAACTACTGCATAAACCCATTGCATACAATTAGCTTCTGACATCTGTTGGAAATACGAGTAACTGCTGGAATTAGCCTCTGTGGTGGTTCAGAGCATGTACCATCTAGTATCAATTTCTGAGGCATTCAAACAAATGGTAGGTTTTATGCACCACCACGCAATAAACTAATAAGAATTGGTGGTACAACATATGTACCACAAAGCATGAAAGAGTTAACAAAAGAAGTTTGGATATAAACTTCTAAAAGTATCAATAAGAAATTTCTAAACTTGAGTTTAGATACAGTTTTTAAAAAAACCGCATCTCGTTTAATATATTAATTTTAAGCAATCACTGATTCATCAAAAAAAAAAACTTTTATAGTTGTTTTAATAATTTATTATAAAGTATAATATGCTTCTTTAGCCATTGTAAGTTTTTTTTTTTACCGAAGGCTCTAAACTTTCAGAATTTTGTCACCAAATATATATATATATATATATATATATAATTCAATTAATTAATAAATTCTGATAATAAATAATTTAATAAGAAATTATAGTGCGTTTATATTGTAGCTTAAGGCTCAGTCTATACCGCGGTCATTTTCAATCCGCATAACTCCTGAATTTCTTATTTTTTTCCCTTTTAAATTTAGACTATTGCATAAGGTTATGTCAAAAAAAAATTTTTATAAGATGATACTGTCTCAAAAACTCAGAGTTTTTATAATTTTTTATTATATAGTTACATTTAAAATTTACTATTCTTAAAAGAATTATTCCATCAAAAAAAATAAATAAAATCGCATTTAACACCGGACTACTAGTAAAAATATTGGGCATAAACATTTTTTGTATAATACGTCACACTCTTCTCTGATCGTCTTTCAAATGCAGGAAAGGTCCACAAAATTAACAGGCAGATTGTTTTCAATTATAATAATTGATTCTGAAACTCTTCAGTAAATACTGCAGATTTGCTTCTGATAGGGGGAAAAAACCATTCACACAAGTTTAAATCCCCAATAGCATACGTTCAAAAATGACACAAATATAGATCAAAGCAATTCCAATCTGTATTCGCAATTTCGCATACGGATTGAAACACACAATCGCTGTCAAATGTTTGATTCTAATTTTGCCTTCATGCATCATCCTTTTATAGGCTGGGAAACATTTTGTGAGAACTTCTAAGACCCTTTCTTCCTAAGTAACCATAATAGATGCCTCTTGAATGTTATTCTATATTCCTCTATTTTTGTCATCAAATTTGGCATCATAGTAATATTTGGTGAACAAATTTGGCGCCAAGTCTGTCTCCAAAGTCTCACTTCGTGTCACTTAACTATATTGAAAGAGAATTCACTTTGGACCTACAGTACTCTTTCGGTAGAGATTCAAATCAAGTCCAAAATTTCTTTAACACTATGAATTGGAATTATTATACAGGAAATTTACAGCATTGAAAAATGAAGAAATTAAACTTCATTTTCTTTAAAAGTGTCACCTATCGAAATGCCATATGTGAAACAAGTTTTTATGTGTGAGAAAATTAAATGCAAAAACAACTCCTTAAAATTTTAATCTACTGTGTTATTTAAAAAATGTCACACAGAAAAAAAAAATTATTTAAAAAAAAGAAAAGATAATTAGGATTTATTGATAAATAATGTCAAAAGGTGCCATTGATAATTCAGTTCACTTTTCAATTAAGAGTAATAAAATATTTTACAGGTTTCCAAAATTCTAAAATATTTATAATATTCTAGAATTATAGAAAATAACGCCTACAATTTCAAAATTCGAGTGATTTAACGTTGGTATATAATAATACTGCTTTGACGGAAATTCAAGAAATCGTAGAAGATTAATTTTATAAAAGATGACTTTTGTGGAGGAGTTTAAACCCCACTATAGCCATTATAAGGGTTTTAATTGTTATATCCCTGAAAGAAACCCTACAACACTCAAAGAGTACTTAAATTACTAATATAGGCCAATGGACTGACCTACATTTATTACAGTCAAATATCGAAGGGTCAGACAGTGCAAGAGACTAAATATCATAGCAAACAACTCTCGGCAAATATACATTATTTAATTTAAAAACCAACATTTACATAGAAAAATGAAAAATACTTTATTGTCTAACAAAATTAATGATAAATATACAAAGTAACAGTTTCTTATGAGAGAAAATAAGAATTTTAATTATGTTTACAGTTGAGAGTTATTTAGGTTATTCAACTGAATGCTTCAGACAGTTTTTTCTTTCGAAACTGGACATCATTCACGTCGACATTTGACCCCTCTCTGGAAATTTGAGGATTTCCTGTGTACGGGAAAATTCCGTCTTGGACAGTTGTTGCCCCTTAGAAGTAAAGAATATTTTCTTATAAAAGTTCAAGAAATTAAAAAGAAAAAAATGAAATTAGTTTTAGTAAAAATTAAATAATAACGGAAAATACATTCGTGTGAAATGTTTAATTTTTGTTTAATTTTTCAATTTCTACTATTAGTTCACTCTCTCCCTATATTTATATCTTGTTAAAATTTTCCATCGTTAATAAATACTTTCTATTCATTTATTCAAGTTCAAATACATTTTTTGAAACTTGTAATGGATGGCACTTGATGTTCATACAGTTTTTTCAAATATTAATCATTAATTAAATTAAAAAATCAACAAATAGTAACAAACAAAAATAGTAGTCCAACAGTATATATAGAAAGGAAAATCGCTCGTTGATGTCCTTGTAGCGCAATGGATAACGCGTTTTGACTTCTGATCCAAAGGTCGTGGATTCGAATTCCACCAGGGATGGCCTAGTTTCTGAGAATGTGATTTCTTTTTTAACTACATTATTTTATTAAAATAATAAAATTTAATTAATGAATAAACAGTAACTAAAAAATAGTCCAACACCCTATATAAAAAGGAAAATGGAAAATTACAAGGAAAATCGCTTTCTGCTTTTTCACTTAATGCTGTATCAAAACGCGGATTATGTCTACACATATTTATATTAATTGTAACTATTTAATAAAAAGTAACCAAAATAAAATTTTTCTTCGTTGACCTAAGTAGGAATTTGACTTAATTTTTTTTTATGTTACTTGTTATTTGTAGGACGAACAACTTTGATGTAAAATAAATTTAAAATTGAATTTGATTATAATTTTTTTTAAAAAGAAATATTCTTTTTAATATTTTTTCCGAAAGTGATTAACAATAATCTAAAAAGGGAAAAGAAAATCGTAGGAATTTGTTTTTTTTTTATTTTGTTCGATTTGATGCTGAAAAATTACATTAATTAACGTTGCAAATAAATTTTTAGGCAATAACGTATCTGTCTGTCTGTTATTTAACCAGAGTTCAAAATTACGAGGTTCATTGCCAATAGTCCTCGTGTTGCTTTATTGTGCGACACATCTAATAAACACTCACTCTCTCTCATACCTTTCTGCACTGTAGATAGGGTACCGACTCATAGTCCGACCGCGCATCCGATTGTAATGGACTAAATTCATGACGGTCACATGATAATATAAACATGTGTTCTACATTGAATTCAAAACGGACAATAAACTAGCTCGTACTTTTTATTCTATTTGTAAGACTTGGGTAAAATTTCAAATTGCATAGTTGGGTAAAGATGCTCAAGAGTTATAAAAAGAAATTTCTGTAAAAAGATTTTAAAATTAAAGAAAAAAGAGTCTTGTTTTATACATGTACTTTTAAATAAAATGACAAATATTAATTTTTTTAAAAAAAAGTTTCTGTAAAAAGCGTAATTTGGCAACAACGAAGTGCATGAACTGATTTGCTGAAAATAGATAATTGCATTTATCGTGACTATGACGTCATATGTATTTTTGAACTTGATTGGCTAAAAACACGTGGTTTAAAATTATGTGATTATGACGTCACCTGAATTTAGTCCATTGAAAATGACAAGGCGCGTTGAACGTGCAACCTGGATTTTGAAGTGATGAAGAAACGGGCAATGGGAATCGATCCCTGATCCAAAAATAATATTAATTAAAATTTTGGATTTATTTCTAAGAGATTTAAAAAGCTAATTATTCATGTATTAACTGTAACTCTGTATTTATTCTGACACCCTCTATTTTTATTTTATCCTATTCAACAAAATATTTTAATAATTTTATAGTATGAAACTCATCAATAGAAGAAACGATGAGCCAATCAAGTCTTTTGATAACACTTTAATCAGTTGAAAAAAAGAATGTAACCGAAATGCATACGAAATGATGCATCGCGGTAAAAGCGTGGGGTGCTTTGTGCTACATTTTTACACTAACTCTGCATTTCAGATTATAACTAGTAAGAGAAATTATAACAAAATTGATATCGAGTACCCCACGCTTTTACCACAATGACCTTAAGTTTTCTCGTTAATCTCTCTCATTTTATTTTGATATTAATAATTATTTTTTACTTTTTTTGTTCGATTCACTATAAAAGCGTATTTTTTAGTTTTTTTAAACGGGGTCCAGCACTTCCATAGGAGCCCATGTTAAATTACGAAAGTTTATGCACCTTTTTCTCAGAAACTACTTGCTTCTCATGGATAAAATTTGAGCATCAGGTTATGAGTATTATCAATAAAACTTTAACGAAGCGATTTTTTGTTTTGTTTAAAATTAAAATAATTATGAATTTTTTAAAAAATATTAAATTTTTCCCCTTAAAATTTAGTTTAAAAAAGCCTTATTTAAAAGAGTTTACTAGATATATCTAATTCCCTCCATTAAAATGTGTAAACATGTTAAAAGTATGCTCACTGAAAATTTGAGGATTATATAAGTTTTATAAGTGGTTTTTGAGAAAAAGGTACATAAAATAAAAAAATATTACATTTTGAGAAAACAGGCTTTAAAGTAAAAATTTGTCATTTTTGAGCATTTTACTTTTTCGTACTTTCCAGAAGCATATGAAGCATTTTCTTTACCCCTGCTCCTACAAAAGGCTCTTCTAATTTTCTTTTTTTTTTCATTATTTTTAACAATTTAGCCTTTGGGGGGGGGGATCTCAAGATGTTTTCGTTTGGCTACGCGAATTCTACGTGCATCTAATTTTTTGAAGCACATGACACACAGTTATAACTTGTTTTAATATCACAATGTTTTAAAATCATTAAGTTTGCTACATGACGAACTGCGCAATATAGCAATATTTACCCTAATTTTAGCGTTTTTAATTCAACAAACGTAGATTTTGGAATCACTGACCATATGGTGTTAATAACTGGCTAATTTGAACAAAAAAGAGCGGGAACCCATACATTTTCGGTTATTTCCAATACACTCTAATTTTTCTACTTGAACATCATTGGATTTGCGGTCATCCGGAACTTATGCAAGGGGGAAAAAACACAGGTGCTCGCAGCAGAGCTCATTTGATGCGCCTCAAGGAGTAACTTCATTTAAAAAATAAATAAAAATACTTCTAATTGTCGTATTTCCTCTTTTCATATATCATTTTAAACAGAAATATTTAAACTTTTAAATTATATAAAAAAGTAAAAAATCAGTAATTTTTCGGAAATTCATGTGCTCCGCGGACCCCCTTAAACTATAATTTTTTTTAGAATTGTAGCCGAAAAGTCATAGATTCGAACTCGTGGCCAATGTTATGCCTGTTAAGATGGGGTTTCGAGTATTGGTACCACTTAAGATCTGCCATCTAGGGAGAGTTTGGAGATTAGGTTGATAGCTTAGGTATAATTTTGACCTCGGGTGTAATTTTGACCATGGTACAAAATTACAAATGTCGTTGCCAGTAGCTCTCGTGCAGCTTAATTGTTAACAGCAATTAATAAATTATAATAGCCAAACACATCATTGCTAAGCTTCGGTGGGTTAAAGTGTAGTAAAGTGTAGTGTAGTGCCTTGGCGATGTCAATTTCATTTAGTGACAAAAATCGATCGCCAAGCTACTTCACTTAGCGAAAATGTACGGAAGCCAAAATGAATTCGTTATCTCACTATAATATCTATATAAAAATTGCCAAATCCAAAGAAAAATCGCCAAATCCAAAGCCCCCCCCCCCCTATACTACATTTGAGCCGCTTCAGTGATCAAACACACACAGGGAAACCACTTTTAAACTTTTTAAGTTGAAGTTTGTTTCTCCGTATATCTAGACTAAGTTTTTCTCCTACGAAGATAAAACTAAAACCTCTTTTTTGCACGAAAATCACAACTTGCAGATGCACATATCTCTAATACTGCTTCAATCTGCTTGCATCACGCCTTTCACTATTGATTATTATATGATATACAACGATAAATATTTTATAATTCCTCTAACTTTTCTTTAAAAAAATCCTCCTAAAAATATTAACTACACTATTAGGATTTTTACTTTTACGAAGTAATTTCAGTATATGTGTTAAGGAATAGAATGATTCATTATTTCTTTCACAATAGTTCAGAATGCTCTTATGCTGTAATAATATCGATTTAATACCTTATTTATAAAATAAAGGAGAAAATATATTTGGCTCTTTTTTTTTGTTTTTTTTTGTTCTGATTTTGAAGGCAAATCTGTACTTATATTAATGTTATTCTTAAATTAATTCATTTTTTTCTTTGCTCTTAGTTATTAAATTTAAAATCTTTCTTTCTTGAAAAAAATTCCTGCGTATGATACTATTTACCTGTTTAAACGACAAAGTATGCCTAGATTTGAATTCAGTATAAGCCCCCTATTTTACCTAGTTCAGATCTAAAAATATATTACCTAAAATTGTTGTTGTTGCTTATGCCACCTGATCGACGGTAACATCAGATCAAGGTCCAAGAAATTCATCGTGGCTCAGGGCAAGATTTATACGCCTGTCGTTATCCTTAGCTTTGAGCACCATGCAGGTGACAGTATGATTTTGCTCGGTTCCACCCCAATTTTGAGGGAGAACGCCCTGAGGGTAGTCAGAGGCCTCCCACCAACCTCACGAGAGAACCTGCGGCTCGACGGCTATTTAGAGAACTCCCACGCCGCGAAGGCACTATACATTTGCAAACATCCATGCCTTCTCCGGGATTCGAACCCAGGCCTTACGGCACAGCAGTCAGCGTCGCTAACCACTATACAGGATGGGCGGCTACCTAAAATTGCAAATTTATTTAATTATAATAACTTCTTGTCTTTGGTATAAATAATTTAATATTTAAGTTTAAAGACATTAATTTTAAATTAATATGAAAGCAACGCGTACATTCTTAAAATTATACACATCTTTTGTTATTATTATTCTAATTCTGGATGATAAGAAAGATTTTCAGTGTCGCTATTGTTTGTTTGTACAATTTTTTTTTTTTGACATACTATACAAAAATTATATAACTGTACATTCTGCATTTAAGACCGACCCTCACAAAATGCGTGCTGTGTTTAGAACCCAAACTCCTGTTTTACAAAACGTTTTTGTTTTTAAAAGAACATAAAAAAATTATTGAATTATTCTAAGAGTAGCCATTTGGAAACAATTGTAATTAGGGATTGCAATACCGGTATACCGGAATACCGAATACTGGTATTTTGAGACATTTGTACAAATTTATAATACCGGTATTCACAAGTTTAAATACCGTTTTTTCGGTATTTACGAGAAATTTTTAAAATTGCCCCCACTTCATTATGCTCAGGAATCGCCAACCTAGCAATATACTATACGTTTTTATTTCCTTAATGGGAGAAATTAATTAGACTGTAAATATAAAGTTGCATCGTACAATCAAGAGAAGGGATAAAATATGTGAATCATCCAAGGAGGCGGGTGAAAACTAATATATTA